ACAGAACCCGTACAGAGATTAATTACTGAAAATAAGAGATAAAATATAAAGTTTTTTTCCTTAAGGAACGTTTTAATAAATATCTGGACATTGTAAGGATTTTGCAAGTGAAATTTCAATATTTTCTGTTGCATAAAAGTATTTTCAATCGTAAAAGTAAAATGAATATTACTTTGCATGATAGATAGGCAACATGCGAAAAGAAAAAAAGACACGAGAAAAACATTGCTTTATAAGCCTTAAAGCTTATTACAAAAAATAGTAAATTTTATTATTTACTGATAATCTGCCAAATTTTTGTTAACAATTGATAACTAATTTAAAAGTTATAGCATGAAAACTATAACAAGCACAAAATGGTTATGTGGTCAGTCCAAGGGGCCGAGCCCATGCTGAAAGAGTTAATAAAAGTGTTATATATATATATATGTAAAAATACCCAGTAGTAAATACACACACACACACTTTTGTTTTAATTCATTAAAATATCTAAAGTCTGATGTTGTGGTAACAAGAAGAGTAGAGTGTGTATCTAATCATTCAAACAGAACATGCATAAATATCTATATCTATTTATAAATATTTTCATATTTAATATATTCTAAATGTTGAATTACTCTTAAAGCAAGTCTAATGCAAGAGCTTTTTTACAGGACCAAAATTTGTGCATTTAAAACATGGGATGCACAACTGTAATTAAAACTCAAAACACCTGACTTTTTTGTTTCAGGAAGATTTTTAGTAAGACTTTCAGGAATTTTTTGTGTGTATTCAGGTGAAATTTTGGTTTCCTTTTGAGTTATTTTGATTCTATCTTATCCCAATACAGAAAATTATAATTTTTAATCTGTTTGATAGTTCTAAACTATAAACAAGATTCCTGACAATCAATAATTTATCAAAAGAAAAAATGAATTTTCTAAGTACCAATAGCAGTAAAACGTTCATACTTTTTCTGTTAGTTAATAAGTACTGAAAGCTTACATAAATATGAAACAAAGAATACTTTACTCATATTAAAAGTTTGTGTATTCTATTGATTTTAAGCAGTTAACTAGCTTACAGAATTATCATTATATTTTAAGGCCATTTTTTATGTCTTCAGTTACTAAAGATGGAAACTTAACAAGAGAATATTCCCTATTACTAGGCTGTGTAGTCATGACCCTCATAGACTTTATCAGTGTTTGGTGGCCCAAGTGCATCTTTTTATTGTTGAAATGAGATTGAGGCTGTTGCGCCAACTGGTTTCTGGAAATGCAGCTGCACAACGAGAGAAAAGTTTTGCTCGAGCCTTACTGGAAGAATATGCAAAACTATGCACAGCTTCCAAGCAGCTTTCACCAATACTGTCTGATCTGGTAAGAGAGAAGTATTTATTTAAAGATTATTTTAAGTTTACGCTTAAAATTGATGAAGACATTTAGTTGATCAAACCTACTTTTTAAGACACATGGTAAATGGATATAATTATTTTATCTGAATGAGAAACTTGTGTTTTTTTTGTATTTCAAAAATAAAAAACCACTGTAATAAGTTAACTGTTTGAAGTGAGGATAAACCATTAGAGTTTTCTTTTGAAAATGCATTAAAATAGTTATTTAGTTTGATCTGTATTGATGTAAAGTAAGAATAAAAAAATGCTTATAAGAGAGATGAGAATTTCATCATCAAGACTTAATTTATTGTATAGTAAATAATTACAGGTTATTGGTGAGATACAGTATTTGCAAAAGTTCGTGGTTAGTAAGTAACATATTATATTTAGAAAAAATTTAGTAAAAAACTTAAGTTTTGTCATTCTGATTGAACTGTTACCTTAACTCATTAACATGAAAGTAATAAAGATTAATATTCTGCTTAATATATGTATAAACTGATGGTGTATCTGTAGTTGTATGCTAGAATGGTAAAGTAAAGAATTAATTTCACTGTGTTGCAGAAAATCAGTAATAACATAATAACCTTGTAAAAAGGTGATATTAAGAGAGTTGTTGTTTAATGTGTGTTATGCTACAAAGCATATTATGATATCATGTGTACATGATGTATCATTATAAATTTGCAGGTTAGTATTAGTATGATTTTGTAATGATTGGAAATGCTTCATCAACCCACATACTGACCTTGTAGTTCAAAGTTTTTAATACTTATCCAGAACATAATATTTGTGCTTGTTGATGTTGCTATTAGTATTGAAAATTGTCTGCCCCATACTTTTTTGATTTACCTGTATGTTATTTTGTCTCAAGTTTTGATAATCTGTTGTGTGCTTGAATTTTAATATTATGTGTAAATATATGTATAATAATTATTATTACCAGAGTTGATATGATTACTACTTTTTACAAAGGCCAAGCACATGAAACGTTTTAACCTCACATGGGAACTTGTAAACAGACATCTTTTCCAGAGTTTGGTTTATTCTGATGCTGTTATTCACAATGGGCTTCCTGATATATCTAATCAAAGGTGAGCTATGGTACTTATTTGAAACACTGTCTCAAAGGATTTAGACTACACATATATAAGTTGAATTCTTAGGTTTCAGTCATTGAATAAAATGCAATTTATTTGCACTGTTTTTTTTTGCCTTGTAAATTTTGAAATTATATCCGTTTATAGGTTTGACTCTATGCATATGTTCTATTTTTCTTTTTATTAGTGTTTTATGTATATTATTGACCATACTTGTGTCAAGAATTGTTATTTTTTTTCATTTGAAGTAAATATAACATAAGTTCTTTGTCCAGAATGCCATTTTACTATAACTCAATATTTCACCTGACAGCTTCTTGAGAAGTTTTATTCCATAAGTACTACATTAATTCCAATTAAGTGATGTATTGGAATGTAGTTACGAGAGTATTTTGTTCACATAAAGTATGGATTCTCAGCCAGCATCAAACAGCTACATTGTTTAAAGTTACATTATTCGAACAGTGTCCATGGTCAACAGTGAATGGTAATTGTGTAATATATATGTATATTCACATATATTATTGTAATTAGGTATAAATAAAATGTAAATTCCTTATTGTAGTACAGTATGAAACCCATTATTATAAAACAAGTTTGTTCATAAAGACCAACCTATATGATTACTAATTTTAGACTGTTTTCTCTCGTTTAAGATAGATTTTTTTAATGAACTCCAGTTAGCATTCAACAAAATTAAATATAAGTATTTTCTCTATTTTATGTGATTTAATTTTATGTAAAATTAATATTTTATCCAGTTTGAACATTCTGCAATTATGTGTTTCAAACTTCCTCAGAACTGTTTCTTTTTCTGTAGGCTTGGTGGAGCGTTACGAGATAAGTGTCAGCATGAGAGCATTGCGCTGCTGCAGACATTTGATCAAGAGATGACAGTACTAGCAGTGAAGTGGCAAGAAGCACAACAATTGCTCTACGAGTTTACTCAGGAACATGTATGTTACATGGCTAGTTTTGTTCATTAGCATTAAAAAAAATTGTATTTAATTGCTTTGTTATACTGTGTTCATGATTATTATCTTAAATAGTATTTAACTAAAAAATAATAAGTAAAATAAATTTAAAAAGAATTGTTAATTTTATGGTAAAACAGGTATAAAATTGAAAGTAAATGAATTGGAGATTGTACATCATTTTTGTTTTTATTCAAATAATATATGAACAATTAAGTTAAGTTTTTAAAAGTATGTTAACAAAATGTGGGATGGGTACAAACTCTTCATTGCAAGTTAGTTGATTGTCATAGAAACATTGTTTATCACACATTGACTACTGCTTTTTTTTGTTCTGTTGAAAATGCAAGTTTAACTCTTTCAACATGGGCTCAGTCCCTGGGACCGTGTCATGTGACCTTCTGTACTCTTTTAAAGTTGACATAAATTTAATAATTATAACTCTCTCTATATATTGGGTATATCTTCACGAAATTTGGCAGTCTTTCAGTTAATATTACAAGTCTTTCATATACAAAAAGTCATATTTCTTATTGAAGTACTTTCAATAAAATAAAATAAAGTTTTGTACATGAATATATTGAGTATTTGTTTTGAATAGTCCGTGTGCAAAGTAATTTTCATGTTAAAATTAAAAATACTTTTTGCCATCTCAAAAATCTCAGATTTACTTTGTGCAATCCCTAAAACCTCCTAAATACATTTCAAACGTTTTTTTTTTGTGTTTTTTTTCACTAAATCCTTATAGTTTATATGTTATTTTCGCTACCCTAATCTCAAAATGGGATTGGTCAATTAGACCGACCTCGTAAACACCCAAAAAAATCAAAATAAACCTAAATTAACCTTCTTTTCTTTCTAGTATGACTTCAAATTGTAACATGAAACTACATTCGTTTATCCTAAGTAGCTCTGAGTTCGTAACATTATACATCTATTTATGATTAAATGTTATTGTTTTATTGCCCCTTGAACCGTGTCTAACTGTTATCTGCACCATTATAAGTTGTAAATCATGCGGGGAATGTGCAGCTCACGTTATGCAATTGAATTGCATTACAGATGAGCTGCTCGCATGGGTGCTTCGTGAACAATTTTAATTTTATTATTATTATTTTACCTATTCTAGTCTTAAATAACTTAAAAAGATCTGTACTTTTAATTTTAGTTATTTTTATAGTAATATATAAAGAATAGATATGAAAAACAAGAAATAAAGTACTTAACCAATCTTCTTTTTTCTTACCCTCAGTTATCAAGTAGAGTAAAGCCTGATTTTTTTTTAGCGATTATGGTAAAGCACTTAACAATTTTTATTTACTTAAATAATACATCAAAGAATATAAACTAATAAAATGCAAAAAGTAAACAAATTCATTTACTTCTAAAAATTTTCCTGGCTTTCTAACTATGCGACAAAAGCCATTACAAATTCATCCAAGCTAGTCGTTAACTTTCCCACAGGAAAAAAATTGCTACTCCGAGTGACATTTTTTTTTACTTGAAGAGAAATGCTAAAGTAGAATAAATAGGCAACTAGCCACAAAACTTCCAGGAAAATTACTTATTTCACTATCTAAACCCCTAAAATGAATTTTGAAAGTGTATAAATAGTAAGTCATTTAGAGAGGCTGGAAGAGTACAAAATAAATGTAAATAATTTCTTGTAGTGGATAACTTAATAAACTAGATATTTAGCCATAAATTGAACTATTATTATAGCTGACTTCATGCTGTTATATTTTTTGCTGGATACATTGATTGGGTTATGCTCTGTATTTTTGTTTCTGTCCCCTTAAAAATAATAATAAAATTGACTAACCCCATAAAGGAAACAGTACAACAAAATTTGAAATCACTCTTCAAATTGATTATCTAGTGATTTCCAAAGGCACACAATAGTACATTAATTTAGCATGATAAATGTAATCTAAAACTTTTATTATATTAACTTAATTATTTAATGCTTGGGTGGTTGGACTCCACTTTAAAAGCAAAATGACACCATTAAATTAGAAAAATTATAGAAGGTAAACTTGTAGTCATTTCTCCACATGTTGAAAAAATTAAATACTACAGAGTTGAAATTTATTCATTAAAAATGTTTTATTTATTTCAATTTATATAGAAACATAAATAAAAATTCCAAATTTTGACTATTGATTTCAAGTTGCTCCCAATGAAGTCGTTAGTATTTGTGAATTTGCTGAATATATTATGACACTTGTAGCTCCTTGTAGGAAAGTCTTAATAGATTTGACTACAACAGCACTAATTTAACCTTGGAACATAAATATAAGTGTAGTTTTATCAATTTTTAGCCAATCTCTTTCTCTATGGTATCGATATAGTAAATTATGATTTTTTTGGTTAATTAAAATGTATATATAAAATATAAAAAATAATTTCTTTTTACATCCTCCATGTGGGAAATTTCACAAGTCTTAGCAACCTATGACAAGTGGCAAGCAACTACAAAGGTCATAACTGAAAGAGATAATTGTTTGCTTTACTTTATTTACTGTTCTATGTTTAAGAAAAATAAGTTTAAGAGCTTATTTGCAAATAGAAATAATGTATTATAGTTTAAATGTGACTGTACTTTACAAAATACTAGATCACGAAACACAGCCAAGACTGGTTACTTTGTAAAGACTGAAGGTCAGTTATATATTATTCGATACGAGTACATGTATGCCGCATCATTGTAACTTCTGTATTGTTAGCCAGGCACGGCTGAAAGGTCAATATGATGGCAATAATAAATATATAACGTTATGAGATTTAAGCTAGTTAGACTAAAATTTTGTGTTATAGTTTGTAGTCATTCTAGAATGAAAAAAGCACAATTTATATTTTTTTCTTAATTTTTTTTATTGAGGTTACAAAATTGGTCATATTGAACCAACTTGTAATGAAACACACTGGTGAAAATAACCAATATAATACAGTTTTGTAAACAAAAAATTTTATAATTATCTGGAGATTATATAGATTTCACATGTGGAATTGAAAATGTTCTAATGCATTAAAGTATTTTTAATCTTAAAATCAAAATTGATTTGCATGTTGGATAGTGAACATTCTGAAAGAAAAAGGTTTACAAGAAAATCTTCAAATAAAAAATCTTAATACTTTATTTAAAAACCTAATATTTTGTATACAAAAACCTTGTAATGTTTACCAATAATCTGTAAAATTTTGTTAAGATGTGCTTACATTATCAAAATTATAGTATAATTACTCTCATGGATACTTTCATGGTTATGAGCTGGGTGGATTCCACCCAGCCTGTAATGGAAGGGTTAACATTACTTTTATGGGGATCTGACTTTTTTTTGGGTGGGTGGGATAATGGTTGATGTTTTTTGGATTTTTTGTTTTCTTGAGATACTAAAAAGGGCTTTTGTTATGCATAAAATATTAAAGGTTGTTTCGTCACAGAGCCTGAACATTTTTATTATCCATGAAAAAAAAGATGTACGGGACACCTTTGTAAAACAATACTAACCAACTGAATTTTTCTGTTAAAAATTGTTTTTGTAATAGTCGTTTTTACTATTTACAGATGGCATCATTAGCCAAACAAAGAGTGTTACAGAAAGATTGGGAAGTCTTTTCTTCTCATTGGAAAAGTATTGATGACCAGGCTTTAAGTAAAACAACTCCTTTTGTCCAAACGTAAGTTATGATTAGTTAAGATTGTTTTGAACAGGGTTAAGTACCTTATATTAAAATGATTTTCAATATGCAAATCAGAAAATCTTGTAACAACCATGGCTAGTCATTGTAGAATGGCATGTGTGAAAAATACATTTTTACAAATTTTGGTGTTTCATAGATAGTGTGACCCCACTGAAATTGATCTCTTTTAGGCAGGATTTGTAATAATCCTTTCCAATGCAAAATATGCATACATATCATAAAAATGTGTTCAAATTTGGGTGTTAGGATTTTCAAGATGATGATATCTCTCAGCATTGGAAAGCAAAGAAATATGGATCTACCTGGGTCATCAAGAAAGAGACATGCAACAAGTAATACCTCAGCTATGGTAAATAATCAGTGTAAGAGGTCTTGTAATGGGTCAGAACCCATAAATATAAGTGGCAGTGGCAAAAGTTGTACATATACCCTAGTCAACAGTATGCAACATAATCAAGAAGTATCGCTGTCTGGAAAGTGAAGTCAACAGAGTATAGGTTCACCAAGGTAAGGCTTCCACTCATACCTCCCATTCAACCATTGCATACCTCAAGCAGCTGGAAAACGAAAGTGGTATTCATGTTATTCCATTCAAAGACATACTGATGCATAAGTTGTGGACTTTGTATGAATGGACTGTTGAAATGGACACAGGAAAACCAGCATACACTTGATGGATTATGGAAATCAATCAGGGAGGTGTTGTATATCTGAGCCTTCTACAATGGAAATTATGCTGTGGGACTATTATTTAATGCATAGTTTTAGATAGAACATGATTTGACATGGTGACCTGAACTGTATCAATATGCTAAAGCTCCAACATCATTTTAACATAATTTGCTCTATCGTTGTAGTCTTAGCATGTGTATATTTATTAGGAGATTTAAAACTTTAGGTGGCTTTGTTCTGTTCTTAACTCTGATTATATGAGCTCAGTCATTTTGACTGACCTTGTAACCACGAATCCATACCTACCTTATCTCTGAATTTATTAAGTGTATCTTCACAAAATCTGTTGTATACAAAAATTCAGTTTTCTTTTTTATTTAAACATTTTTAATAAAGATTTGTCTGTGAATTTAGGAAATCAGTCTGACTCAGATTCTGACTAATCTGAAAGCAAAGTGATTTCCATGCTGAGAATAATAACACTTTTCATCATACATTTTTCATATTATATTTGCATAGCCTCTAGAATGTCTTAAAGGAATATCGAAAGATTTATTCAGTAAAAGTTGATAATTTTTGTTGTTTTCTATACCCTAACACTAACCATAGTTAAATCGTCAGTGTATAGTAAAATAAAATTGTGAAATAAAATGAACAGTACCCATCCTTTCTTCCTTCTTTGAAGACATCATTTTGGAATATAGTTGGTTTTCTAATGTTCACGATTTTAACTGTATTCCTTTTCACATAAAATTTATTTTAATTTTGTAGTTTTAAATGCTTAGCTTTTACAATATACAGTTTATTCATCCCTGAAAAGAAAGCATTACAGTGGGAATACATTAGCAGATTCTTGTACACCAGCATAAAACACAGTGAAATTTTGCACTTGGGAACACATGCTGAACTAGGCACAGTTTGTTTTTTCTCCTCTAACTTTGTACCTTTCAAAGATTCATTTTAAATCACAGATAATACATAAATCACTAAAATAGGCTGTCCAAAAACACCTTTAATTTAACTGGCTTTTTAATTCAGCTATAAATAGTCTAAAAATCATTAATGCTGTGAGAATCAACTACTACACATCAGTTACTTCCTCTGGACAAGTGCAGACAACCTTAGTGCTTTGCATTATAAGACACCAACCATTCCTCTGGGATGGTCACTGTTGCCACCAAATTCAACAGAATGGTTGTAGACATTAAATAGAAAATAAGCTCTTTGTATTGGTTACAAATGTATATGTGAAATAGGATCATATGGTTTTGAAAACTGTTTTTGAAAGTTAGGATAGATGGGCAGCCTTAGTGCTTTATGCCTTAAAACACCAACCATTCCTCTGGGATAATCACTGTTGCCACCAAATTCAACAGAATGGTTGCAGACATTAAATATAAAATAAGGTATTTGTGTTGGTTAGAAATGTATATATATCAAATAAGAACACATGGTTTTGAAAACTGCTTTGAAAGTTAAGATAGATGAGCAGGACTTCTGTCATGGATTGGGAAAACTTCTGACATCTCAGCAAATGGAAAAGTTAAGGTATTGAAACTACATTTGACCTACTAAAGGGGAGAAATGAGAGCATTCACATGTCACATAACAAAAAGAAAGATTTTAGCTATATTTTCTCTAAATTATGAAATTAATGTAAAAATATTAAATATAAACTACATTCTAATGCAAATTTTATTGAAATGAATTGATAATAAGATTATTACCTGTGTACTTAGGGTTCAACTATGATTAGTTGTAAAAGTTTTGGACACAAGAATTGAAAATATTTAGATAACTACATTTTACATAAATAATTTACTTTGGACAAATTAATTGTGATTGCTTAGAAACTGTTTATTATCACAATGTATACTGGAAAAATTAAAAAGATGTACATGATCCAGCCTTCAGTTAAACTGGCTATCTTTAACAAAATATAAATTATAATTATTTGAGATTTTATGGAATTCATTTTACGACACAGAGAATAATGAAATAGACTTTTTTCTTTCTTTTTTTTTTTTGTAACCTGAACTGAATTTTGCTCTTTCAGATCTCCAGGTTAGATACAAGTTTTGTATGAGAACCATAGTATTTAATGAAATTATTTTTTATGCAATTATTTTTGATAAACAATGGCAGTTAATATTTTTTAATCAATTTCATTTGAACTTTGTATAACATTTTTTGATATTGTTGATTGAAACTTGTCAACTTTTGATGCATTGTTAAACTGATGTGTCAAAGGGTCACTAGAAACTAGTAGCAAATATTGTATACCTTAACACTTCAAAAGGCATTCTGTATCAGTAAAAACAAACAAAAAAATATGTTAATAATTAACCAGCACTTAGTCTTGAAAAGTTTAAGTTGGGACTGAAGTTTTAACACTGTCATCCTCAGTTTTATTATTATTAGTTTTAACCAGTCAGTCTTTTCAGGCTGGAATAAGCTGGAAATGCAAAGTTTTGAAGATAACAATCAGTAAACTTTTAGAATTGGCTCAGTTACTAGTTAGTTAGAATAATTTGTTTACAGTTGTTTTTTGTGCTGCATTACTTTTATAAATGTAAACACTTTAACTTTTTTAACAGGTCTTCCTATGGTTAGGGGTCAAAGAGCATGTTATCATGTTTGTAGACTTACATTCAAAGCTTTATTGAACTCCTATTTTATGAATGTATGTCAATAACTTTGGTTTCAAATTGTATATAATAATTCAAA